TGCCACAGCAATGTTCTGAGCAATCTGTGCATCTAAATGGTTAGAGCTTTCTTGCCCTGTCCTCATGTGCAAGATCATCTGTTAGAATGAGTAGAACGAGCCACATCACAGAGCTCCTTTTTTTTGGGGTGGGGGTGGGGTGTTTGGGTGCATCTCGACAATTTCACTGAGTGCTTGCATCCTCCCACCAGTACAAGCACTGGGTAACTATAGGCAACAATGCTTAGGTAGATGAAAAGAAATCACCGAGCTATTTTGCGTCTGCTGGAATCCGAGTTCCATTGTCCCATGTATGTCATTCCAGCTTCATCGACCGCTGGGCCATACCTTTGAGTGCACCATATCTGAGAGCTGCAGTTTAGATTTTTGATATGTTGTCTGATTAGGGTGCAACTACCTGGAAAATCAAACTACTCTGGGTTAGCTTTATTGGACTTATATTTCTAAGCTTAAGCTCAATCTAGTTGAATTTCCTCTATTATACTCAGAATTTAATAGGAATAATATGCTCAAGCTTTGCTTGCCATACTCAGACCACCACAGAGTTTCAATCCTCTAAAGGTCTTGATTATTTTTTATTCTTTTTGTGATATAGATTTTATATAAGACCAACATATTTAGGACTGGTTTGGATTATCAAAATCATTTCTGTTTATTTAAGCAAGTGATTAATTGAGAATTAACTTAAATAATCTATTCTTCGGAATTTACTGATTGCTGGAACCCTATTTGCAGGTCCTGTCGAAGAGAATTCATTATGGGAAATTTGTCGCTGAAGCAAAATTTCGAGCCTCACCAGATGTCTATAAGGCTGCCATAAGAGCACAAGTAATCCATTTCCTAATATGCTCACTTATGTTTTAAGGGAATCTATTGCTTAAATTTTTTCTAATGAAGATAGTGAATCCAGCTTAATTTCTCTGCTTCGTGAATTGTGTTAGAAATACGCAAGGAGCACTTATATTGTTATTTTGTGATGGATATCACATTATCATTCTCCAGGACAGCAACGGACTGATGGATTTGTTGACCTACCCTACTGTTGAAGAGGCTATCACGAGGAGAGTAGAAATGAAAACCAGAACTTATGGACAAGAATTTAACATCAATGGACCGGAAAATGGAGGTGACCCAGTGTACAAAATAAAACCAAGCCTAGTTGCTGAGTTGTACGGCGACTGGATCATGCCATTGACAAAGGAAGTTCAAGTTGAGTATCTTCTAAGAAGACTGGATTAGAAAGAAAAAAGAACATCTGCTGTAAGTCATCTAACTTATACGAGTATTGAATTATATGCACAAATATTATATTGTTCCACCAGAGATGGACATCTGTGGATGCAGATGACTATAAATATAAAATATGTATGGTGGTTTTCGGAAGTGGGACTCGGTTTCTTACAGTGATTTCTTGCATTGTAAATCAACATTGATTGAGGTGGTGAAAGAAGTAAACTGTGATTCTTTGCCTAAGAATATGTCTGATAACTTGTTGTAATTTATGATTTATAGTCCTTGAGAATGTAGAAGAGAGATGTACTTTTGTGTAATGAACATTATAAGCTGGTCTTTTCCAATGAATTCCCATGTTGTTTCTGTCAGTGCTTTTGCACACTGTACTTTTCCAGATTTGTTTAAAGGTTTCAAATTCTTTTTGACTGTTACCAGAGTAATCGATCTGTTTTGACCAAAGCTATAAGTCCCCAAAAGCCAATAAGAGTTTGCATTCATTGCTAACGGTTTTGAGGTGTCAAATTTAGTTCAAAAAAATGTAGCCGAATTTACCTGTTTGAACATGAATATATTCATTGATGAGTCAATTTAACCGTCACAAAATTTGAGTTATTATGAAGGGAAATGATCTTGTATATTCGCTCTCAAAATAATATACAAATTTTATACACTTTTGCGGTTATTGGATGTAAATAGTTTCAACTGCAGCTTATAAGTGATCTTTGCCCTATTTTGAACTACGCGAATAAGCCTAAACTAATCAATAGAAAATATTTTCTTCGTTCACTTTTAGTTGTCCATTATATTAGAAATACATTTTTCACTTTTATTTATCTATTTTAGTAAATCAAGAGATAGATAAATTTTTTTCATATTTTACCCTTATCATTAACTACTCATTTTTTAAGATTTTTTGAAATATTTTTATTATTATACATGTTATAAAATATGTACTTCATTTATTATGTAAAGTCAACAAATGAGAGTGAACGGAGGAAGTAAATGAAATTGCTCCCCTCTTTCTGGGTTTAACTTCTATAGCATCAGACAAAAAGAGAAATACTATATCTTCTAATATTTCTCCTTCGAGAAAAGTTTGAAACGTTATTTTACTGATGTATTTCAAATATTTTATTTTTGATATGCATGTGCATTGAGCGCGTCAATTTGTATACTTGTACATGAAATCATAAAAAATAAATAAATAATTCTGGTTGGGGGTGGTTGCAAATGCAAGCCATAAATCTCGGGCCAGAAATGCCAAGCTGGATACGTTTGTTGAGAAATTCTTGATTTCTTGCTTAGATTTTTTTAAGAGCAGGAATCAATCTCAAACGTATCAGCAACGCTCATATTTAGAAATAAATAGGTTGTACAAGAAATATCCGTTTCCTAAAACTAATGGAAATAATCTCTCTCTATATATATACAATTTTTAACAAGCGTATGCGGTCAACCAATTAAAATTATATTTGATCCTTTTTTATTTGTGAAGGAAAAAGAACCACATTTGCTATTTTTTACATTTAATGGGATAGAGACAGATATATAGAAAGAAACATCTGCGAAGAACCATCTAGGTTCTAAATACTTTAATAATAAGTTAAATTTTATCTGCTAATCATATAAACTGTTAATACCATCATGTTTCTATAAAGTCTACTATGGATGAATCTCAACAACAAGTTTCTGTTGGTAATTTAAAAAATAAATATTTAATATGTTATAACAAGTTAACTTATACCAATACAAAATAGTTATATTATCATTGAGTATAATTTAATTTAATATATTATTTTTTAGTTACTTGGAAAATTTAAATAAACTTTTAAAAAAAATTCATTAGCCACACAGCTAAAGTTTGTTAGGAGAAGTGATTCCATTCTGTTAAGCGCTATCTTCCCAAATTAACTAAAGATTTAATTTCATCTACTGGTAGTTTATATGTTTAGTACGGTAAGCTAGCTATCCATTTTCGATTTAGTTTCATCTACAGGTAGTTTATATATTCAATAAGAACTTATTATTGCAACAAGTTATTTATCCATTTTTGATTAATTTCATCT